AGAGATTGTTGGTCTCATCGCCTGTAAGTAAGAAGCTACAAATTTATTTTCTTTGCCCAAATTAAATTCTGATGTTGGGTGCGGGCAGTGGTAGGAAATTATCCCTGCCCACAGGAAATAATGAATAACTGTCTCCTCAACAGAGAATGATGTGGTCAGAGAAAGATTGTCTGGTCCCTGTGTGCAGCTTAGTCATGACACTACTTTCCAGTCGAAGGTTGCACAACAACATTGACATATTCTCCCCGTATGAAGTTCATATGATCAAACTTGTTAGCAAATGGTGACTTGTTTTCACGACCAGCAGACACAGATTAGCATTTGCACTTATTTGGAGTCTTGTTTCAGGCCACTTGCTGAATGCAGCTGCTTTTAGCAATGTCTCCTACGAATGGGTCAAACACATTTGAGTGGAGTGTGTTATGCACCGATTTCCTAAACCGAACAATGGTGTAAAATGTACCTTATTCTCCTATTTTAGTGAAATTTGACAAGTGATCTCTGATAGACAAACAAATGAAAGGAAAAACCAAACAGAGTGAACATCCTCATTTCCACCATGATGAAAGAAATTAGAAAGACAGAAAATACGAGAAAGGTTCTGGTGAAGAGAGGAAAGTAAAGAAGGGGGATTATAGAAAGACAGAAAAAAGGCAGATGACTAGGATGGAGGTGATGAGTGCTGGCGAATGAGTCCCAAGATGAATACTTCTGAGATCTGTAAACTTTCATATTCTAATGTCGAGGATTCTCACTGAGCCATGTCTCCGTTAGCCAAGTACCCTGCTGTGACCTCCTTCTGCAAATTAACACAAAACCCTGCAACAAAAACAGCCAGACCAAACTGGATGATTCTTACAGTTCTGTATGTAAGAGAACAAGCAAATGTGTGCACACTGTGCTGAAAACATAACACACAGACAGAACAGAATGAAAGACACATAGGCCTTGCTGTGCCTTAGAGTATGCACAGAATTTCATTATAATCGTATAAATGAATTTCAATGAGTTCTGTGTGAGAGGTAATAACAATGGAAAAGTAATCCTAGATTGAACTACGTCACAGTCAAGAAGTTGAAATACTG